CAACCACGCCTTTGAGTTTATTGAGCCAGAAATTCTCGCGAGAACTGTCGATCGCTGGGCCGCGAGCTGCTTGAGTTATGGTTCTCTGACACGCAGTCTATTAACAAGTGCAGCGAACTCCCCCTCCGTAATCTGCGCCGAAACTTTGTTCGAGTAGGCTAATTAGTCACATGGGGAGCGTACATGCGAGTAATGTTTTAGTGTCAGTGTTGGTGGACGAAACTGCTCAGTAGTTATCACGCTAATAATCAGCACGAGCGATGAGCGCGGAATAATGCAATTACCACATTGCGAGGAATGTGGGGGTCGAAAATTTTTGAAGGTATGCTTTGATATAGAAAGTGCATCCTATGAGTACTGCCACGGTTATACACCCATTTGCCATTTTTCATGCTGTCAATGCAGGTGAGATCGTCTGTAAATGTGGATGTGGGGTAAAAATATAGGATCATTAAAAACCGAGATCGCTGGAAGCACCCGCCTCTTCAGCAAACACGCCATTATGAGGCTAGTGCGTCTGCGACGGGACGTTCAGGTAGGGAGAACAGATGACGGATGCATGGCTAAATGAATATTATATGCTGACTTCTCTACGGGTGCTCACAGATAGGACTGACAAAGGCATAACCAGAAAGGACGCACTGGGGACACTGCCCAAGCATTTAAAATATTGCCTAGCATACCTTAGGAAAACCATGTTTAAACCAGCAGTCGTGGCATACTGCCGTAAATTCTGGACCAGAACATATGAAATTCAGTAAATAATCGAATCCCAAGCAAAAGGAGACACCTTCAATGATCCCTTACTCCGGATCCATGTTAAAAAACACTCAGACTCTGTGAGCATGGCCACATTTCCAAGTGGACTTGTAGAACAACGCCGGAGCCTCAGTCACGTAAACCAACTCTGTTTAACTCCCAGGTCATAAAACCGCACTACATTAGCCACGTTACTATATTCATTCACCATTCCATCTTTTATTACCGCAACCACGCATCTCAGTCTCGACCGCTCCAATCTGGCCCGGAAAGCTTCCCGAATAAGAAACATCTGTTACCATTTTCAAGATTAACGCTACCACAACAGCCTTCCTAAACTCCGTTTAACCATCGCGTAACCAATATAGACTTTCAGATTGTCCGTGTTGTGACCGCGTGCTTTAATCACACAAATGACCGTGTAACACTCTTGCCTACGAAGACATTAGTTTTTGAACATATATTTAGTGAATGTTTGTGCTCTTGCTCATAGAAATCTTATGTAACGTGGAAGTCTCCCTGGTCGCAGGTGTGTTCATGCTTTCGCAAATGGCTTCTGCCCAAACTTACAGCCTTAGTTATTAGTAGTTCATCTTACAGTTTCATTCCTGACTTTGTGTGTTCTGCCCTGTTATTATTTTCTAGTGGATTCGGAGTGCTGCCCATTAGTAAAATAACTGACAGGGCAACGGGCTCGTGGCTCGGTGTTTAGAGACGTGGGCTTCTAACAAACAGGTCGCGAGTTCGAGCCCCGGGTGTGCCACGCTGCGGGATTGGGTATGACTGGCTGACAACGGCTAATAAGCCAGAAATGGCCATTCCAACCTTCCTTGTCTTTGTCGGTAATATCATTATGCCTATATCATGCGCCGCTGTGCGGCTGGTGGTTGGGCTCGAGCGAGAGTCCATAAGACAGCGGAACGAGTGAGGTCCGTATGAACGATCGGTGAGCGCCCCATACCGTAGTAAAATAACCCTTTGATGAATGAAGTCAACTGTAAACAACTATTCCACGCGCAATGTACGGTCAAGCAGGCTCATGCTGGCCAAAAAATTGCCTCAAGTGCTGAATGCCTCAAAAAGACAGCAATTCCATTTTCATGGGAGAACGACGAGACACTTGAATAAGTACATCGACTTATATTACTATTGAATGTCCACTAAATAGACTTAGGTAGTTGGAAAAGCTAGTTTTACACTGGGCAAGACTACCAGCATAGCCCGACCGCAAGGTAAAGACAGATGGCATGAACATGGCACTACCGTTGCCGAAAATTTCATTATCGCAGTGGGTCAGCGCTGGACGCGTGTGTCCAAAGCCAGCATGTTTAGGCGCCAGCCCAGGGCGCACTGGGTATCGCCAAGCCCACACCCTATACGAGGTAATCCGCAGGCATGCCTATTCAAACCCAGGAGGCATGCCTGACCCGGCATGATGTTTGCTTCCGCGGGTAGTAGGTGAGATTTATCAACAATCGCGGTGCGTGGGCGAACGCTTTTACACGGACAAATGTGCAATTTATGACACAGCGAATGAGTAGAAGTAAGATAATGCACAAACAGAAGCCTCAGGCATTAAAATTCAAAACATGAAATTGCTAGCCGAAGTAGCAGTAGGAAATAGAAGATGATAAGTGCCGACAATGGCTAGGGCATGGAAGAAGTGACAGTGGACGTTCTTATGAGACCTGTGGATCGTCTGCAGAAAACCAAAGGAGATCTAAAAAGCTCATGGACATTTATCGTCCGATTTTCTTCTCCGTCGACGGAATATTGACTAATTACTATAGAGTCCGACCTGAACGTGAGCAAGAGGCAGTTAGAAATGCATGGATTCACGACGGCGGACTACGCACTATTCAGTGGATTAGGAAGGAATCCAGGGGACGGAGATAATGCAATGGATGGCAGTGTTTCTCAAGGGGAAATTACGTTAAAGGGGAAAATCACTAAATGGATTATCAGACGGCGCACAGGAATGGACAAAGAAGTAGTGTGAAGCTTTATAAATGATGTATGCAGAGTAACAGGAACCAGCTCCGCTGAATGGACGCCAATCAGATTGGAAAGGAAGTAGGCGGTGTTAATGGGGATCGGCCTCAGAGGTTATGCCAATGTACCGTGGGTGGGCTAACGCATGAAATGCCAACAGAAATTCCGAAATGCGTTTCCGTTTCTAAAAGATTAATTAAGTTGGTTTCTAAGACCAACCATCGTGCAGAATAATTCTATAATAGGCAGAATGGCAGTACCGACAAAGACAAGGGAGACTGCCATTTCTATACCAATTCTACCAATTCTATAATAATCAAGTTACCCCAGCACGCCGGCTTTCGAACAAACTTCGTTCTGATTTCAGTCAGCGAATGACGCCAAAATGCGGTGGTCGGTTTAAAAGGAAGCGGCGACGAAGAACAATAGACAATGGACAAAGAACGATGTACAAAGAACGACGAGAACCGACAAAATAGGGGTAAAGAAACAAAAGGCAGAGTGATATGAGTAAAGTCTGGTTACTAACAAACAGTTAGTAGTGAAAAACAAACAAAAATACAAATTGACATCAGGGATGTCACAATAGGCAAGGGCATTCAGGTCTTCTTAGATGGAATTAGTTGACACTTAAAGAAGACGAGTTAGTTGTGTTCTACGGACGGACTCTGAACTTCTGATCGTTACTCTTCAGTAGGTCAACATATAAATAATCGATTTTAGAAGAGCGCCGATTTCCCTTCTGAGGAATCTGCGGGTTTATCCGCTTACGGTTCTTTTCAATACTATCCACAGTGGCACACCTGTTCACGTTTATGAAAAGATGTATTCAAGATTAAATATTCTCCGAGACCTAATATTATTGCAAGCCCTTCGGTTAAGAAAAGTGCGCACTCTTGGTATTTCTGTCATAGGCTTCTGAGGGAATTTTGTACATGCAGACAGTTGCTTACAGCGCGATCTTGTAATCGAAAACCACATCCGCACGTTTGTGGTCTACGAATGTTGACTTCCGTAAACTGTCTCAGACCACGCGGGTTTCCGACGTAACGTGTGACCGTCTGGACCGCCCAATTAGTGCCGCGGAAAAGGGAATCCCGGTTTATAACTATTGCAGCACCCTCTAGGGATCCACACCACAGAACAAAATTAAAAAGTCACAAAATTCAGCCCTGGGCTGTGGCCATTATTATCGTGGCCGTTGGGAACCAGTATTTTCACAAGCTTGGCCGCTTTTAGGAGGGGTACCACCTTACCCTACGACTGCCAAATGACTATTTCCTGATTTTTGATGCAACCAATAATTATTTCATGAACACCGGGAAGGAAAAACGTAAAATTTGATCAAACCGGTAGTTTTCTCATGTAAACCTCAGCTTGGAACCATATCTTGTTGGCTAGGAGCCTTAACTGATAAGGCCAGTTGACAGTGGCATACACTGATCCGTCGTGATTGCCTTACGTAATATGACCAATCCGTTTTCGTCCTGGAACTCTACAGTAGGGATCTTGGACTGATGAGGAAAGCGACCGTAGGTTTTGATGAGGCAATACTGATAACATTGTATGGATAGAAAACGTATTATGTAATACGTTAAAATCCACTTCTGACAAATGCCTGACCCATGCTTTAATCATATGGGATCTCGGGTTAAGGTCAATTTTCTTCCTAGCGACTGCAGCAATTTATTCACTGAAGGCCTGCATTCTCGCTTTGCGATCCTTTGCGATTTTCTGAAGATCGGAGCTCCAACTCAAATCGTCATTAACCGAAATCCGTGCTGGAAGTGGATTGGATTGTTTACTATTCCCCATGTTTGGACCGTTGTTTTTGCATAACGCGCGATCTGTGCACATCGTATAACTTAGAAAGAAGTTGTTAGAAGACCGATTGCGTTTGAAAATCAGTCAAAGTACATACTGCTACGCATGAGGGCGTAATTACTGTGCAGAAGGTCGAAATGAGCAGGCTTAGAGAAAGGGTTTATACAAATACTCAAGAACAAAGCTAGGTGTTATAAAGTGTTGAATGAATGTTTTTTCCATAAACGGCCAAGTGGGGTTAAGTACCGGAACAAAAGTGATCTATTTGCTGTTTGCTGTGTTTTCGCTTGATGAGTGGTACACTGCTCCAGTTCATAAACCCTGGGACGAAAATCTGTGTCCAAAGCAGGTCGCGAGTCTCAAAGTAGCCACCTCTCGCAGGAATTTAAACTCCACCATATGCGAAGGTGTTACCAGCACCCGTCATGGGAACTGCGGCTAAGGACTTCGCGAAAATTGTCCTCACTGCTGCTGTGCGTTCTACCATCTGCACACAAAGAAACCTCGGCAACCCGTCGCCAGATTCTTCTGAAGGTAATTCTGGTCCTCCTATTCCGATACGCATCATGACAACAGTATCTGTTATGAATGTTGAAAATGGGGCGCGGTTAAAAAGGCGTCTGCCTGCGGCATTCTTTCCCCTTAGAGGCAGTTTAAACGTCGTTACCGACGATGTCTTGAAGTAATAAACTATATGAACAACCACGAAAATTTTGCACCTCAGTGCAGGCGCCTAAGTTCAGAAACCACTGATGAGCACATGCAAATATCCTTCGCAGCAGAAGATATTATCGCATAAGACAAAAAAGTGCAAGCTAGCTGAAAAAATGTGTGATAGCACGAGGACATTCTGCAAAAATATTTACAGACATTCGCGCTAGTCTGAGTCAGAAACTTAGCACCGCGTGGCCTATGCGCCGTTTCCCGAATAACCGATGACAGTAAGAGCCGAAAGCCATGTGAAATGGGGGAATATATAAAATGGTTAATCATTGTGACATTCACCTAATGCCTTAACTTCTCGAAACCAACATTTGCCTGGAGTTTTTAAAGTAGTATAACTCCTCCCTTCTAATAGTGACTCTGCAGAAATGGTCCCCGATAAGGCGGCGACAATGATCATCTCCCTTGTGGAATACTTGTAGGGGCTATAGCCGAGGTTTCTTATACGAGTGCGACGACGATTGCCTTTCAAATGGAAGGCCCTTGACCAAAAATTAGAGCTCTTTCTTGTGGTGCATTTTTTTAGCGGTCCAATGAGAAAAATGTCCGAAACCAAATTTAAAGTTACAGCGGAGAACAAAGAAAGACAGATTATTTACCAGCAACTCTGTGCATCTGTCTGCAGGGACTGGGTTGTGGTTGGGGAGCCGTTTGCGCACAGGTCATACTTGGCAGATCTATTTAAAAAGTGCTGGCTAAGATGAGAGCAGTCTGGCTGATCCATTTCGGCACGGCTTTGTAATTCTTGAAAACATGAAGCAGTTGAAATCAGAACGGCCTACCTCTTCCCCTCTCCCCCTTCCCGTATCACTGACAGAAACTAGACTATAATTATCCCGCTGCCCCAAAAGTCTGAACAAATTTACCCCAAGTTATGACTACTGTTTATAAGTTGTTTTATTCTCAAATTTCGTTGCTCCAACTAGACCTATATGCATGTACTGGCCGGAAGAAAAATAATCAAAAACGTATATTTGCCGACTTGAGCTTCCTTAAAATCTGAACAACTGAACAAAGAATTGTCTCAAAAATGGAAGAGGATATGCGCATCCCAGGTTCTTGTTTAAAAGAAGACGAAGGCACGATCAGGTTAGGCTATCAGGTTTTCAAGACCTGATAAACAGCAACTTCCCCGACATTCAGTTTACAAGAGAAGACGAGGAAGCCGAGAAACTACCCTTCCTTGACGTGGTCGTCACGTGCACACCTGATGGTAAGCTCAGCACTACAGTGTACAGAAAGGCGACCAATAAAACTCAGGTCCTCAACTATCATAACAACCACCCATTGGTGTACAAACGGGGCTGTGTGAGGGCGCTTTTCGACGGCGTAAAAACGCACTGTAGCGAGCCAAAGGAAGGATGCAAGAACAACGGCACCTCAGGGACCAATAAACAAAGAACGACTACCCCAAGAGTTGCATCAGCCGCTGCATACGCACGCACTCACAACGGACAAACGGAAGAGAGACACCAATAATTTGGCACTCTCTACCGTACAGAAAGAATGTGTCCGGTGCCACAGAACGCACTGCATCAGGGTTAGACATGGACATCGTCCATCTTCATGAAAATGAAGGATAGGCTGGACGCAGGTGAGCAGTTGGTCGTAGTCTATCAAATCCCGTGTCATGAATGTCCTTGCCACTACGCAGGCCAAACAGGACGACGTCTCAGCTCACAAATACGTGAGTACAAACGGGCCTTTCGGAGAGGCGACCCACAATCTCAAGTCGCCACACACAAGCTGGAGGAGGGCCATGAGTTCGACTTCGCCAACACGCGGATATTGGCACGGGCCGGCAACAAGACGGGGCGGGAACTGTTGGAGACGTGGCTGTCGGACACCAACTCTATTAAAAGACACATCGATTTGCCTGCGTGTTAGCACGCGCTCCGCCCACGCATCCAGGTGGCGCAGCTCACATCGCCGCGAAGTACAAACGCCGTCACCACGCCGGGGGATCATTGTGGACGAGGCAGCACAAAGCAGACCTAGCTACGGACGTAGTCCCCCCCTCACGCAAAACGATATAAGCGTTCACACGTTGCTGCATTCTAGAAGTCTCTGATGATGAACTCTGGTTTGAGTTCGAAAGCTAAGGCCAATAAATCTACCGTCCCACTGATCGTGTCTTCGTCTTCTTTTAGAGGATTGTCTGTATGCGTCATTGCTATGTCTAAGGGCATAAAATCACGCAGATATGTAAATGCGGCCTTCCGAAATCGATAAGATGTCTGGTTTTGCCAAAATAACCTTCCTCTTTACGTCCTGCTTAATCTGATTAAAACATAGAACAAACATATATATACAAGTGCTTAAAGTTCCCTTTGGTAAAACTGCTGGTATGACTGGGCTGCGTAACCTCATTGGGTTAATTGCGCACAACTACCTACTTTATTTGTCTTAGTACAACATCACCAGTCTATTTATTTTACCCTACACTAATAAAAAAATACGGATGATCGCACTAACTTAGTCCGGGGCAGCTACTGACACAAAGAAACTGTTTGATTACAAGTTAGTGTAGATTTCCGTTCAAAGTTGTTGACATTTTGACTGGCAAACTTATTTGTAAATAGATTCTACACGCAAGAAGGACGTGTTCTGGGGCAAGTTTGTCAAATACATGATGCCCGCAACGTTTTAGGCGCCTAAAATCAATTGCCTCGGTCTTCCTTATCACGTTTTAAGAGTTAGGCTGCATGCTGTATATGAACCTAGGTCCAAGGTTAGCCGTCAGGACCCCGCAACCACCCATCAACCTGCACCGTAAACACCCCTGTTGGTATAAGGAAAACACACACATTCGCAAATTCTGCACCTGTACAGACATAGGGAGCACTGATAGACAACATAATGTAACAAGGTTACCGGATGTGTCCTCACAGTTGGCCCCCGAAGGACTCCTTTTTTATGATCAGCGTCCTCCTGAACTACTTCAGTCCGTCGCTAAATCTTGGTTTGTTGGTGTTCCCTGTCTTCTAAAATGAAGACCAAAGATATTTCTGTTCCTTCTGCGTACTCTTTCTGTTTCTGCCTTTTTCTGCACTTTCTCTGAGTTCTGTGAGCTCCTGGTACTTAACCAACGTTTGCCCGCCATCTATATATTTGTCCTAATTCTGCGGCATACATAGATAGGCAGTTACCTACCATTAGTCTCTAAGATTTTACGACCTGTGCTTCAACTTCGTAGTGGAAAGCACGACGGTTCGAACGGCCTGCGGACACCAGCACACAGTCTCCACATCGCTAATCGTCGTCCTCACCTGCGTGGTTGGCACGGGCCTAGTCAATATCATCTGTATTCGTTCTCAAGCTCTGGGATGGTTAACATTGTCGATGTCCTGACACAGACCTGGTCTACTGTGCCTTGGTGTTCCTTTACGCTGAAGTCTTCGTCCGCTTTGGCCTGACTGCAGTAATCAGTACCTTCATCCTGAAAACCTCCCGCTACGAAATCATCTACTGGATGCGCAATGCGCCCGCTCAGCAGCTATCGGGCACCTGGAACAGCCTGGCTTTTCCAGGCACCACAAGGGAGCGAATAGAGGCATTCAGTCGACTTCAGGGTTGGATTACGGCGTCCTCTGTACCGTACCACCGTCAGTGAATTTGGCAACAGTCAGCACCTACGACGCAGGGTACAAATTCATATGCGCCCTAGGGTTTCGCACGGTGACCCTAGACTCTCCATTTTCTAGCACGCAAAACTCTCTGACTGACCTTCAGTTGCTCGTTACGCCTATTATTATTATTATTATTATTATCATCGTTTAATTCCGGCACTTCGGGAGTTACCCCAGCAGTGCTGCCAGGCATTCATGCCACTTTATAAGCATCTATGGAATGCGGCAGGAGGGAGCCGACGGACTCCTTTACTCCATAGACGGCACACGCAGCAACAAAGAGTAGTTAACGGTGATTGCTTATACCCTGTCATGGAGGATTTTTTCTGTCTTTTAATCGGTTTTTATGTTCGCACCACATGCTTGATGCCCTTCCGCCTAAAACAGCCGAACACATCTGCACTCACTCGGGCTGGAAGGGGATCAGATTGATTGTTTTATATAGATAAATGAAAGAATGCCTAAACCCACAATGACTGCTGTTTTTTTGCTCGTAGCCACCGGTCACTAATTCGGGCTGCGGATTTGCCGTGTTCAAGGGAGGACAATGAAACGCGTGCAACTAATTGTGGTCTGGCGAGAGTCTAGTAAATCAGCAGAAGGGCTAGTAAGAGGACCTGAGTTATAATCGCTGCTAGAGTCAAATGCGAAGCACTGGTTCCTGAATGCCCGCTGTGAGAGTTTGAACTGCCAAAGTAAACAGTCTTTACTCCACAAAGTCTTTCTTTTTTGCACTCTCATAATGTTTTGTCCTATAACAGACCTGCACAGTCTGCCGTGGATCAACCAATAATTTAGTACATTGTTGTCCGCTTATCCACTACTTCATTAGCTCTTGCGAGGGGAGTCGCAATCCTTCGCGTATCATGCTTTTGCACAGATCATTCGCTGTTGGAAACGGGAAGAAGTGGTCTCCCTTATTACAGGCGAGTATTTGGTAAACTTCAGGAGGTAACTATTTCCCTGTCCCAACTTTAGCCCTAACCAAAACTTCAACACTAACCCTCTTAACTCTAACACGGACTTCAATCCTAATCCTAATTCCCTCTGAGTTTGGCGTAATCTCACTTGCAATAAGGGTATTCTTGTAGCATTGCCTTGTCGTCCTACCTTCCAGTTTATTTAATGAGGGAAGACTGCACTGATTTCAGTTTTACATGTTCGAACTCTGCAAAGCATGCGACAAGTCACCATTTGTGTGTCAAGGAAGATAAGTCAACTATCATAAGTGTGCAAAACACATTACTGCTCCTTATGTATATAAGAAGCAGTTGTAACAAAAGTTCGTTTAGTGTGGACGCAGTAATGTGAGTTTATGACGGAATATTTACGCCAGTGTAGTCTGCCTGGTATGGTTTCGGCTGCGCGCTGTTGTCACAACATTCATTTTAGAAATTTATCTGACGTTGCGAATTTTTTAAATCTCGAAATTGTCTCATGTATTCAACAAACACCTAGATAAAATCCGAAAACGGCAATGCGCTCGGCTACATGTAAAAGACATATGAACTGATAGAAGCGAACAGGCGAGTTCCAGGTAGCAGTTTAGAAGATGAAGAGGCGATCACTGGAGCAAGAAATATATTTGCCTGACGTTTCGGATTCTCACTCGAATCCATCACCAGGAGTGCAGTATTTATAGCACGTGGCTGCCGTGGGACCGTATGCGTGCTTTAATTAACAGCTCTCGCAATCACCGCTGGGGTCGTAATTGATGCGGTGGTGGCTTGTCGTTCCGAGTTCGAGTCGTTAATTGCCGTGATTTCGTCATCCGTGCTGGATGCTGGTGTGACGATTGCTCGGCAAACTGGCTCACTGTCATCGTGGTGATTGCTCGCCCGCGCCCTCCCCACATGACTGATTCTCCTGCCGAGGGAAAATCTCAGCACGGAATAGGGTACCGGGGGGTCATTGTGCTTGTTGATGGATTGCGGGCCTGAGAACCAGGAATCGAGCAGTTCGCGGCTCACGCGGTTGTCACCCCTTGCGAGGATTTCGACCTCTTGAAATTTGAAAATATGGCCGAGTCCCGTCGAGTGTGCCGCCACCTGTGAGTTAGCGTCTCCCCGCCTCACAGGTGGCGGGGTCGGCTGAGCTTTGACAGGGACTGAAACAGCCTCGGGACTCCTTAGGGTAGAACAGTTAACAAGTTCGGTAACGGAACACTCTAAGAGGAGTTTGAGCACGATGCGGACATCGAGCATGGCCAGGAGCAAGTGTTCGCTCCAATGAGTGCGGTTCTCATAGGCTATGAGCAAGGCTTTGAGTTGTTGGTGAAAACGCCCGACTAGATCGTTGAATGAGGCACGGTAGATCGTCGTGTGTGTCCGACAATATCCGAAAGACACGCAAAGCTATTTAAACGTCTAGATGCAGATTACTGGCATTGATTGTCCGTAATAGCTGAAAAGACACCATAATGGGATATTCAGTGTTCTAAGAAGACGCTAGAGGTGGTACCAGCAGCTATATTTGGGATGGAAGTTGCTGCAGGTCATCGCATTGATTGACCAATTGCAGTGGGTAAATAGTTGCAACCATGGGATGTTGGCAAACGACCTACAATAGTTACGTGTGCATGACTAAAACTTCCGTCAGATACAAGAAAGTTGCCAATGGGGCATTGTTGTGCAGTCGGATTCTGACTTTTCTGAGTGTGTTCAGGATGAATCAGATGAAACGGTCGTTAACGAGGCAATGGGTATCCGGAATGCCGGCATGAGCAAGATTGTGCAACGCTGAGAAAACATCCCGCTGCTCGCCTGGTAATACCAATATTAAGTAAGATCTGATTGTGCCGCCGCACATACGGAACACAATACGGTTGAGCTACTGATTGGCTTTGAGTAGCGTAATTACTTTGACTTGGTGTTTACCGTTTCAATCTAACGGCTTTTCTGGGTTAGCGGCTACGGTTAGTGTTTGGGGAAGGGTTAGAGGTTGGGGGACAGGGTTAGGGGTTGGGGTTGGAAGTTAGAGCTGGGGTAATGGTTGGGGTTAGGGTTTCGGCTCAGTGATTAGGGTTAGGCGTTAGGTCTAGGAGTGTCGGTTAGGGGTTAGGTCTAGGATTTATGGGTTGGGGTTAGAGTTTTGTGTTATGAATAACGGTTAGGGGTTAAGTTTGGGGTCAGGGGTAAGTGTTAGGGTCAGGGTTAGCTGTAGGTCTACGATTACGTTTGGATTAGGATGCGGGCAACCCTAGGCCTTACCCAATCCCTAATCCCATCCCTCACACAAGCGGAAACCCAAAGACTAGGCATACCTCCAAACCCGTGCACAAGACTGCCCTTTTCCTTTTAGCAGTGTGGAGTTGTGCTACTTCAGCATATATTCGCCTACCCAAAACAAATCAATACTTCAGCAATATAATCTTCATAAGGTGTCGCTGCACACTATGCCGAATGACGTTGACCACGCGTTGTCACTTTCGACTAGCTGGTTCGATCCCCACCGTGTTTTCAGAATTGGCGCTCAAGTGTCAGCCCATTCAAAGTTTTATTGCACACATTAACTCATTTCTTCGCAGCAATTTCACAGCCATCTCACTGGCGTGTCCGATTACCCCACCCGTAAACGCATCTTTACCACCATTCCCTCGTCAGGGTTTAACGATTTCAGGGATTGCTGCAAGATCCAATCCAACCCAATATTATTCTGACCATTAACACACTGTTTAACTTTTTTGGTTTTAAAAATGTATTCGCAAATTCAGTGTCGACTTAGGTTTTCATTGCTCCAAAAATATGACGCGAAAATAATAAATGCGAATCAATGACCAGATTAAACACTGTCGAAGCGCCGGATATTGCAGTTGAGACTGCACAAAATAGTGACACCGACGTGTACGCACGTCGGATAGGAGTCCTATCCGTGCCTTCAAAAGATTGTGTGTGTGTGTGTGTGTCTGCGTGCGTGGGTGGTCTGATATCTCTGTCTCGTCTTTTCTATCAACTATTCGCCGCTGTAGTTTTCATGGGTGGAAGGCTGACGTTTTGTTTATAGACTGCGACATATAAAATATTTTTGTGCAGGCAAATTGACTGAAATTACCCATCATAATGCAGCCAGACAAAGACCTCAAAAGCACAATCAGAGGGCGTGGATGTGACCAACTATGTCCCTGTAGTAAACAATTTTGACACAAGGTCATGCATCTCCATACAACAAAGCTGACGACTTAAAGACAAAAGAAACTATGGGCGTTGCCAGAATGCAAAGTTGGTCTGTTCTAGGTAGCCTAAGCTACACACTGGAATTACTCTTCTAAGAAAGCTGAGGTTTAAGCAAATTTTGCGATGAGGTAGACCTTTACAGAAGAATCTGCGGCAAGGGTATAGAGAAAGGCCCAAATTAACTGCCAGTAGACTGTGGATCGTGTCATACAAGGTTTTATCTTGGCATTCATTTACAGGCTATTGCAGAAATTACACTGCTAAGAACGATTACTTCCCACGACCTCACACGTTAACTCAAAATCCGTTATTTTGGGAAATTTACTTTTTGTTTATTGTTTAATTACTACGCCCATTTCTATTGTTGTACAGTTGCGTAGGATAAGACTTTCGGCATAAATCCAAGCAATTTCTGTGTTTTCTTTCATATTGTCAGCTTACTGTCTAGCATGCTGCCCTACCCATAAAACTGCCTTTACTATGAATCACGTATGGCACGATCCACAGTCTACTGACAGTTAAGTGGAGTCCTTCTCTATACCGTTGCCGAATCTGTTTACTCATTGCTGCTCCAGTGAAAATTGTCACGCTTTGTCAGTGGTTTTGGCAAAGTTCGGTTTTGAAGCCCCCCCCCCCCTTGCTCGACACCGTATGGTTAGCCTCCTAAACCAATTTAAATAGGCGCGACTATATTGACTTAACAAATATCAGGTGCTTGCAATTTCCATATAATTTCAATGCAGTGGGCAAATGTGCCACGGGGAAGGAGTACTTATTATCCAGCCTCAGTTACTGCAGGTATCAGTTCTCAT